CTCACTACTTTGGAACATGATATCACAATGTTTTCTTATACTGATTAGCTTTCTTATGATGCACAAAATATCTCAATAACTAAACAGCTCTGCCCACTTAGATGTTAAGATGATTTGTATTTTATTCAAAATCACACCCATTTTCAGCATGAACAATTTCCTGGGTTTTCACCCATTTCGCACAAATGTAGTGTCAAATGACTCCTAAGATCAAGATCACTTTAAAAATTAACCAAACTACAATGGAGATACATCACAGTATAGCATCCAGATACCACCCAAAAATATTGGTGGTGCTCATATTGCAAAAATGATAAATATACAACTCTAATGCTCAAACATTTTGACCACTTGTTATGAACTTTTTATCAAGTATGTATGTTAAAGGGAGGCGTAGCCGGTCTTCAACATCTGGTGGAACTGCTGTCTAAATGGCGCTAACCAGTGTTCTGCAACCTAAGGCTGTGTGACAAGAAAATGTTCATGGTGCTACTATATGCTTTCCTGTACACACCATGTTTACCTTCAGCCAATTAGATGACAGCCTGAGAAATTGTCCAGTCACTACGGAACCTGATACATATCTCCAGGCATAGACTCTCTACTACCAATTGATCTGTGACAGGTTCTGGTCACTGGGGGTGATACTCATGTGTCTTTTACTGTTTAGGTGGTAAACATGCAGTTGACAACAATTAATGCAATAAAGTGAGCCTGACAAGTTTTTCAAATATATGTATTTTCCTAATCTTTATCATTTTTCTACATATATGCATTGTTTAAAAAACACAAATTTCAAAATACTCTTACAATTTACACCTGATCATCTCAAAACCTGGTCTTAAATTTAAAGTCTCTAAATAAGTAATTATTAAAAACCATTGACTTTTTAACACAGTATATCTTGGATTTTTTTTTACTCCATTATCTGCAGCTCACACATGCACTATATGGGCAAAAGTATTTGGATACCCCTCCTAAATACTGAGTTCAGTTCTTTCAGCCACACCCATTGCTAACAGATGGATACAATTGAGCACATAGCCTTTCAGTCTCAATAGACAAACACTGGCAGTAGAATGGGTTGTACTGATGAGCTCAGTGACTTTAAATTCATCACTGTCATAGGATGCCACCTTCACCACAGGTCAATTTGTGAAATTTATGTCCTGCGAGATCTGCCCCTGTCAAATGTAAGTGCTATTACTATGAGATGAAAACACCTAGGAGCAACAACAACTTAGCTAAGAAGCAGTAGACCATGCAAACTCACAGAATGGGGCCACTGAGTGCTGAAGCATACAGTGCCTATCCTCTGTTTCAAATTGCCCCTGCAAGCAACATCAGCAAAAGAACTGCATGTTTAGAGCTTCAGGAAATGGGTTTCCATGGCCAAACAGTTACACACAAGCCTCAAAATGCACAATGCCAAGTGTTAAGGGGAGAGGTGTAAAGCATACTGCCACTGGATTCTGGAGCACTGGAAACACATTCTGTGGAGTGACTGATCACGCTTCTCTATCCGTCAGTCTGATGGATGAGTCTGGGTTTGGCGATTGCCAGGAGAACATTACCTGCTTGACTGTGTTGTGCCAACTGTAAAGTTTGGTGGAGGAGGGATAATGATATGAGGTTGATTTTTTTAGGGGTTGAATGCTGAATGCTGAACAGCATTTTTCTTTCAATTAAGAAAATCATTTATAAACAGCACTTTGTGTTTTCTTGGGTAACATTGAAAAATAGTTTGATGATCTGAAACAATTTTGCACACAAAATATTTTCAAATGTAATGGCTGCCAACACTCAATGTTGGTATATTACTGTGGAACGTACCTATGCAGGGGTTGCTGATATTGATAGGTAGGAGTGGGTTTGTCACATTATATCCACTCAAGCATGAGCAGCTGTAGTTTCCAATAGCATTGGTGCAATTTGCATATGGACCACACACATCTGGATTCCTAGTACATTCATCTACATCTTTAATTAAGAAAATAACAAAACAACATTCTGCATTAAACAGTATTTATTCCATTCCATAATCTAGAGAATAAAGTTACTTCATGTGTAATACACTTGGTCATTTTACTACACTGAACATAGTTAGTGTAAAATCACTGGATGCTGTATTCATTTGTCTCTTTTCACAACTCATTTTTTCTAAGTCAAGCTGTAGGTGAAAGATAATCTAAGTACTCTCATTCGAGAGGAGACATAGAAGATTTGGTTGTTTTATTAGTCAAACATTTCAGGTTCAGGAAAGAAACTTATTGAAAGTGTTTCAAATCAAACTAAGTTTATTGTCACATCTATACACATACACTAATATTGCACTATTCGAATGTACAGTTGTACAGTAGCAAGTTATGAAATAAAACTTATTGATTGAGATAAAACTATGATATCTAGTGTTGTACACATTCCTAATGTGTAGTTGGTGAGTCTGAGGTAGATAAATTAATGAGATGCATGGTACACAGAATATTGATAAAGAAATCTTCCAGTATAGATTACAAGCATAACAATTCCTGCCATCATGTCTTCAGAGATATGCATAATAACTAGATAATGTGTTCAGCATTTATTTCATGCTATCCTGTGTAACTTTTCACTTAAGCATTGATTAATACAAACTTTGGAATTATGTTCTTCTTTTGGAAGTCTCATCGCTCTTCCTTAGTAGGAATGTTCCTTCAGAGTAGCTCTATGTAACTGTAGTGTGAAATTAGAAAACTTTCAGATATAATAATCTGTAAGCTTGATAGTGTTCTTGTAACAGTTACTGCTAAAACAGTAATAATGTTTATTTATGTGAAATTCCATACTTTTAATATTCTTTTCCTTAAGTGATAATCAGAATGCTCAGAAATCTCTGAAATTATTCTGTGATTGAAAGTAAGCAGACATGCAGACAAAAAACTGCAACTTCATTAGAAATCAAGAGTGAAAACTCTTCGCCCTGGCTTAGCCCTGCCCGTCCGAGTTCCAGTCTCATAACTGGGAGACAAAGGAACACAATGTCAATCAGATGGGAGAGAGACAGAAAGACAACATATAATGCCGAAAAAACGACAAGAAGTTCTCTCTATTAGATTTTAGTTTTATTTTGTTTTGTGTCTCAGTTTGTCATGTCTTTGTTCAGTTTGTTTCTGTTTTCATTCACTCAGTAATCTTGGAGAAGTGTTGGTAACTGTTAGGCTTACTGCATTTGCAGGTTGAATAGCCTACCCTAGCTGCACCTGTTTTTAAGTTTTGTTGATTTAATATGAAAGTCTGATTGGCAACAACAGGTTATTGCAAAATCTGCAAAAAGAATTAGAGATAGAAGTAAACAAGTGCTGACTGCAGACCATCCCAGCAGTCTGCCTCAGTGCCCAGAATAAGTATGTTGCCTGACTCCACCAGCCAACCTTTGCAAGCCAACTGAAGAGCCACCTACCTCACCAGAGGCTGACTCGCAGATGCAACACTCCTGAGTTCACTTCTTCTACCTTGCCCCTTTGACCCATGGACGCCTCTCTAGCCATGGCTCCTTTTCAACTTCAGGCTTCAAGGTCACACTCTCACTTCTTCGGCTATATGGTTCAGTCTCGCTGTGTTACTCTGCCCCCCCCTTTTATCTAAACTCAGGCCAGTTGTTACACTAGTGTTAATATTCTGTTCTGTGTACTGATCATACACCATAAAATAACAATTCCTGAATCTCAGCTAATTACAGTATGTTCATCCAGTAATTCCCATGTCTCTAGTTTAGTCTGCATACCCATTAATCTAACACTAGTACCTATATATCCTTGTATCAATAATTTACTTTTATTAAAGCTATCACTTGTGTTTAATCACCACAATTTGATCAATAGATCACTGTTCACAGGAAAACCCTAACCTCAGATTGATCTAAGTAGCTATGTTTTAGTGAAAGTTGCCGGCTACAATTCCTAATGTTGAAACAGTGTAAAGTTTAGTAGGCATATTTTAATAGGGGGCACTAGACAATCATTCCACATATTGAGCATATTTGGAAATTCATCACATTACAAAACAACCATTTCCAAGTAGTCCATAAACAGCAAACATCGCTTGTCATCCAATGCACAAAGATCAAGTAATTTTACTGCAGCATGTAAAAGTCATTTCCAGCAAAAGTTACAAAATCACTTCTTTATGTTTGTAGTTTACACTCTATTGACTCGTGAGTTAAATGCAACATATTATAAAATGACATCAAAAAACAGACCAATATATCAGGAGATTTTGATTTACAGTCTGTCATACTATGAACATATCAAAGATGAGGACCATTTAATGCAGCATTTTACAGTAACTGGCAGCAAGTCACTGTCAATTTCAACAAACCATAAAATAACCATTACCAATATATTGCAACACATTATAAAATGACTATTATCAAAAAATAGACCAATAGAACAGTAGATTTTTTTTTAAAGTCTGTCATACTATTAGTATGTCAAAGACGGAGACCATTTACTGCAGCATTTTAAAATAACTGGCAGCCAAATTTACCAAATCACATCTTTTTCTTAGTGTTTTGCACTCCATATGACAAATGTCATATGTCAAATTCAACACATACGACATTACGGCAGCATTTTTAAGTAATTCATAGACATTGCTGCCAAATCAGTTTATTTGTACCCCATCCAGTTGAGTCGTGAGTTATATTTAAACCATTATAATCTGACCATTACCAATAAAATTAAAAGTGATACTGAAAAATATATTTGCCACTTAAGCCCTGAAAATTTCCTGAACGAGCGCTTAATGACTTTTTTTTTCTTTATTAAATTTAGCAGACATGTATATGTTCACATTGAAGTCTAAGGATGTCAGTTCACCTTCACAAACTAATATTCTCAATTATCATTATAACAAAAATCACAACAAATGATGTACTACTCTGAATCTCTACAGTGCTGATTTGGTCTGTAAGTTATTTAAAGCTTAAAATGAGAATTCCAGAGAATCCACTGGAAACCTACTTGGAGTTGAGGTCAGTTCAGTGCTAGTGGCAGCCGTTGTTATGGTGGGGTTCGATGTGATGGTGTCCATATCTGAAAATAAGTAATAAAACAAATATTGAAACAATAACCTTTACCACATTAAAATTTAAATTTTGCTTGTGTGATAAGTTTTCTACAATTTCTTTGTAACAGTATTTATTAAATTTTCATTTTTATACTTTCCAGTTGTTGACTGGAAAGTTCTCTGTAATTCTTTAGTAATGTTGTTTAATGTTTCCAAAGTTTACCTGTATAAATAGTAATTATACAGTAACTACCTGTTCTCTTATCATTATCATATGCAGAAATGAATATTATCAGGTACATAGTCATAAGTTCACTGTAATGTGATGGGGAAAAGAGTGTAAAATAAGTGTAACTTTGCACAAACTATTAAAAAAGCCACTGTTTATTTTTATGTCTGTGCGATGCAGAGCAAAACCCTATACAGTGTACATAACCACATATGAAATTCATAACCATACACAATGTTCATAACTACACATAGATCTACATTAAAGCACTGTGATGGTAAGTGGTGTCTATGTTGTAGTGTGAAATATGGATGAATGAAGCAAAAAACACCCAGCATGAATGCACAAATAAAAATGTGTGGTACTAATGCAGTGAACTACAATACAAATTTCAGAGTTGAGGTTTGACCCGCAGATGAAATAACAAATATTTCAAACTACCTGGAAGACAACAGAAAATAATTACCAAACATACACATACACCCCTATAGCCATAGTCACATTCAGATGAACAGACTTGATATATACGAAATATCTACAAAACACTTAAATGAGGAGTAGAAGATGCCACACTGATTCTTCTGGATAAAGTATTTGGTCACCTGGACAAGGCCAATAAATATGTCCGGGTACTTTTTATGGATTTTTCCTCTGCTTTTAATACAGTTCAACTTCATCTCCTTCTGCGACGTTTGTGTGACCTGAATGTCCGTAGTAGCCTTGTCTTGTGGATCAGGGAGTTTCAGAGAGAGAGGCCCCAACGCATCTGTATCAACAACCCTTTTTCCAACTGCCTTGTCTTGAACAGTGGTGTTCCACAGGGGTGTGTTTTATCTCCCATTTTATTCTCCATGTACACAAATGAGGTTAAATGTAACAGCGAAGACATCTCTCTTGTAAAATATGCTGATGATATGGCCCTTGTTGCCTGCTTGCAAGATGTTATCAGCCCCTCCTACTCTCAGTGCATCAATCATCTAGCTACTTGGTTTGATGGTAGATTCCTTGATCTTAATGTCAGTAAGACCAAGGAGCTATGTTTCGGGGGGAGGGTGGCAGCAGGCAGTGTAGGATCTGTCTTCAAACCAATCACCATGAAAGGGCAGGAACAAGTCGATCAATTTAAATACCTGGGAACAATTATTGACAACAGACTCACTTTTCAAAACAATGTAGATTGTGTTTATAAAAAAGCAAGGCAGAGACTCTCTCTCCTCAGGAGGCTGAGGGGTTTTAACACCAGCAAACATACTCTGATCATGGTCTACAGGTCACTTATAGAGAGTGTTCTCAGTTTCAATATTGTGTCCTGGTATGGGAACCTCTCAATTAAGCAAAAGAAATAAACTGGCCCAGGTGGTCAACCAGGCCAGTAAGATTATTGAAGATAAACAACTGTCACTCCAGAACTTATGCATCCGACCCATAACCAACAAGGCAACCCAGGTCTACAAGGACCCTACCCACCCCCTTCATTCATCATTTATGTTGCTGCCATCAGGCAGGAGACTTAAGGTCCTACTAGCTAGAAAGAATGGGTACAAAAAATCATTTGTGCCCACTATTGTGAGCATTCTGAACAAGGATATAATAAATAATCCCCTACATAGTTCATATGCACTGTTGCTGTAAGTGTTTTTAAGTGTTTTATGTGTATATGTATTTATGCGCCAGATTGCCAAAGACAAATTTCCATTTCATGTAAATTTAATGGACAATAAAGTTTTTCTTATCTTATCTTATCTTATCTTATCTTATATTTAAACACAAAGAGGCGGAGCAAACAGCATAGCAGAGAAACAAGCATCGAGTAATCAATCCAGCTGCAGAAGCTAGCAGGCCAGTGTCACATCTTAAACATCTTATATATCAAATGTTATATTCTGTGCACACTCACTCATCAGGTACTGTTCTGAACTTTGTGTTTGAATCATCACTGAACTCTCTGCTGTCTGCTTTTTGCATTTAGTAGCTTAATAGTTTCTATTTTTGTCCTTTTTTTAACAAATCATTGTTCCTTTTTTACCAATCCATAATTATGTATAATTCTTCCTTTACTTTGTCCTTTTCCCATCTGTCATGCATCCTTTTGGCTCTGATGCCTGTGCATGGGTGAATAGAGGAGGGGTGTTCATATTGGAAAAGGACATTTGAATACAGTCCTCCAGTGCTTAGACTAGTTTGGAGTGATAATGATAGAGTGTATGGGTACTGGTGTGTAAAATGTGTAGTTGGTGTGGCGTGTTTGATGTATCAACATGTGATTGCAGTTTATTTCAAAAACTACTAATAGAGGTCAATTCTAGCCCATAGGGTTTTCAGTGAATTGGATATTAATAAAGATTGTTCTATTGTTTAAGTCTGTGTGTACTGTGTGGGCAGTTGTGTTATCAGGCTCACCCAGACAAGACTGGGATTTAAAGGTGGTTTATATTTACAATCCTAAAGTGATATATTGACAATCCTATGTCTATATATATATATATATATATATATATATATATATATATATATATATATATATGAATATGGCAGGCTAGCACATAATAAGGCACCTAATGAGGGTATTCTCAAGAGCGTCTTTCTAGCATTAACCAGTCAGGTGCTGCTATTGATCCACTATTTGCTGCCCAGTAGTAGAGCTGAAAGTTTGGCAGATCAGACAGATAAAGTAACATATCATCTGCATATAATTAGACTTTTTGTTCCCCCCTCCTCCCATCCTCATAATGCCCTCAGTGTCTTTACTACTGTGTAAAGCTACAGCTATTGGTTCAATTGAAATCACAAAAAGGAGGGGAGACAAAGGTGACCCCTGCCTCGTCCCTCGTGTTAGTCCAAAAAAAGGTGATATATTGTTATTAGTATGCACTGCTGCAATTGGCGACCTATATAAGATTTTTTATCCATGATAAAAAAGTTGGCCCAAATACAAATAATTTAAGGGTATAAAATAAATATTCCCACTCCATCTGATTAAAGGCCTTTTCAGCATCTAGAGAAATTACCACTTCCAGTTTGTTGGGTGGGGAGGGACTAAATATTATGTTATACAGGTGCCTAATGTTGAAGGTGGAATGTGGATTTTTAATGAAGCCTGTCTGGTCTGGGGAGATTATAGATGGGAGAACTGTTTCAAGATGATGAGCAATCATTTTTACAGAAGTTTCATTGTCTACATTTAACAGAGAGATAGGACGCTCAGCGGTGCTCTTTTTCTAAATATGTGATATGGTAGCTTGATGCATTGTTTCAGGCAGTGAGCCAACTGACAAAGAGTCATTATATACAGCATTTAAAATAGGAGCAATTTTTTGGAGAATTTCTTGAACAATTCTATTGGATACCCATACCTCCAATGATTCAGATGTATACAGATTACAGTAAAACCTCATAAAGCATGAGTTAATGGCCAAACGATCTCTACAAATTGTCTTACTGCTTTCCCACGAAGTTGGTGTGCAAGAATCTTCCTCATTTTCTCGCAATGCTCATCATACCCATAATTGGATCTAATTAAAAGATTTTTGTGTGGTTATTAGATCAAACGCTTTTTGAAGGAGTAGGTGCTCTTTACCATGCTCTATACCATCAACTGATGGGGATGTTATATTGGGCAATATTATTCATCAATTCATTAATACGATTATTTTGATTGGTCGTAACTGTGCACTGTAAGAAATAATCTGGCCTCTTAAATAAGCCTGAAGTGTTTCCCATACTATTGATGGTGACATGTTTGGTGTCTGATTAATTTCTAAAAAGAAATCAATCTGTGATGAAATTAAATCTGAAATCTTTTTGTCTGAAAGTAAGAGTAGATTGAGCCACCAAGGTCTATAAACAGGTTTTGTGGTTGGTAAATTAAGTTTTAGTTTATGGGGAGCATGATCATAGATTACAATTGAATGAGTCACATTCCTGAACCCAAGGAAGCAGACGCCTATCCATTAAAATATAATCAGTATGTGAGAATTTATTATGAACAGCCGAATAGAAGGAGTACTTACGAGCAGTGAGGTTAAGGGCACGCCAGACATGAACAACACCATAAGTATTGAGAAACAGCTGAATTGAGAGAGCAGCTTTAGAAACTGGCACTGTTTTATCAGAGCTACAGTCCAGTCAAGGGTCCAACACACAGTTCATGTCTCCGCCTATTATCAAATAGTGTTCATTTAAATCTGGTAATCGGGAAATGAAATTAGTGAAGAATACAGCACATCTCAATTGGGGGCATAAACACTGGCTAAAATTACTGGGGTGTCATATAATTTGCCTGTAACAATGACATATTTGCCCATGGGTTCTGCATCAATTTGGGAAGAAATAAAAGGTACATACTTACTAAAGCATCCTAAGTGCTGCCCCTCTTGATTTGAACTGAAACTTTGAATGATAAACTTCACCAACCCATCTAGTATGTATGTAAACGTGCATGATCAGATATATTTAGATGTGTTTCCTGAAGGAAAGCAATATCCACTTTTAACTGCTGTATGTGTGTCAGGATTCTCTTATGTTTCACAGGGTGATTCATCCCCTTAACATTCCAACTGACAAATGAGATTGGGCATCCCGTCTTCCCTCCCACCATCACATTCTGTGCCATGATCCAAGATTACAGATGTAACTAACGACAAGCAGTAAGTTACTTATTAAGCCGCTATCATTACAAAGCTCAACAGAACATAAGAACTTTAAGGTGCGCATATCATTATATAAAATAACCCCACTTAGTAAAGTTTACATTAACTCACTCCAACTTTTCATTGTTTATATAAGAACTAGTTTCTGCTAGTGTCTCTAAAACAATACAAAACAATACAAAGTGATCATAATGCACATAAACCTCAAGAGGCTGTCATTAACTGCAGTTCAGCCATTGCTTAGCACTTTATACCAGTCTTCATGGTTCATGTTTTACGTGACCTCACCTCACATATCTACAAATGGCATCCAACTAATACACCGATCAGGCATACATTATGACCACCTCCTTGTTTCTACGCTCTTTGTCCATTTCATCAGATCCACTTACTATATAGGTGCACTTTGTAGTTCTACAGTTACAGACTGTAGTCCATCTGTTTCTCTGCATACTTTCTTAGCCCCCTTTTACCCTGTTCTTTAGTGGTCAGGACCCCCATGGACCCTCACAGAGCAGGTACTATTTGGGTGGTGGATCATTCTCAGCACTGCAGTAACACTGACATGGTGGTGTGTTAGTGTGTGTTGCGCTGGTCTGAGTGGATCAGACACAGCAGTGCTGCTGGAGTTTTTAAATACTGTGTCCACTCACTGTCCACTCTATTAGACACTCCTACCTTGTCAGTCCACCTTGTAGATGTAAAGTCAGAGACGAGACTGTACAGTTTGTGTTGGTCATCCTCTAGTCCTTCATCAGTGGTCAGAGGATGCTGCCCACAGGATGCTGTTGGCTGGATATTTTTGGTTGGTGGATTATTCTCGGTCCAGCAGTGACACTGAGGTCAGAAGGAAGTGCTGCTAGTCTGATAAATTTGCAGGCTTTGGAGAACCAATTGACCACCACCATGATTACAGAGTTGCCTTTGGATGCAGGCAACCCCGTGACAAAATCTACTGAGAGGTGGGACCGTGGATGTGAAGGTATGGGTAGAGGGTAGAGTATACCTGTTGGTCTTACCCAAGGTTCCTTGTTATGGGCACAGACTTGGCAGGCTGCTATAAAAGCCCACACCTTCTGTTCCATGTGAGGCTACCAGAACCGCCTTCTGAGGAACACTATGGTGCGGGTAATCCCTGGATGAGCCATGACTGGTGGGGCATGCCCCCAGTGAAGGACCTGGGACCTAACAGAAGTCAGGGTCTGGCTCCCTCTGGAGTGCATCCTGAATGGTGCCTTCTAACTCCCACCGGATTGGCGCCACGATACGTGAGTTGGGGATTATGACTTCAGGAGAGCGGTCAAAGGATGGATGCTCCGACTGATGGGAGAGGGCCCCGGGCTTGGCATTCTTCGAACCTGGTCAATATGACAGGACAAAGTTGAACCAGGCAAGGAAGCGTGCTTACTTGGCTTGACAAGGATTTAACCGTTTGGCATGCTGGATATAAGCCAAGTTTTTATGATCTGACCATACCAAGAGCTGATGCTTTGCCTCCTCCAGCCAGTGCCTCCATTCTTGTAGGTCTACCTTAACTGCCAGTAGCTCCCTGTCCCCCACATTGTAATTATGTTTGGCGGGAGTGAGGCGATGAGAAAAGAAAGCACAGTGGTATAATTTTCCTTTAGGGCCAGACTGCTGGGAGAGGACAGCACCTACATCAGTATCTGAGGAATTGACCTTGACCAGAAAAGGGGAGTTCCCAGGATCTGGGAGCTGCAGGACTGGGGCTGTGGACAGCCGACGTTTAAGCTCATCAAACACCTTCTTCTGGTATCCACTGAAATGGCCCCACTGGCTTTTTGGTGAGGTCAGTTAAAGGTGCAGCCACCATGCTAAAATTCCTGATGAACCCTACAAAGAAACTTGTGAAGCCCAAAAAGTGCTGCATGAGGCATAGAGATGTGGGACAGGACCATTCTCTAACTGCCATGGACTTGGCCGGGTCCATACTCAGTCGACCCTGGGAGATAACAAAGCCCGAAAAAGTCACTGATTGTGCATGAAAAAGATTTCTCCAATTTAACATAAAGATGGTTTTCCAAGAGCCGTTGGTGGCTGAAGCATTCATCAATCCGAATGGCATTACCAGCTACTCATAATGACCCAACGGAGTGATGAAAGCCATCTTCCATTCATTACTCTGTTTAATCCGAATAAGGTTGTAGGCACTGCACAGGTCCAGCTTGATAAAAATGGATGCCTGCTGCAGTGCTTCAAAGGTGGTATTCATAAGGGGTAGTGGGTCCTTTATAGTGATCTTCTTAAGTCCCCAATAGTCAATACAAGACCCCCATCCTTTTTCCCCACAAAAAAACATTTACATTACATTATTTGGCAGATGCTCTTATCCAGAGCAATGTACAATCTAATTATTTTACACAGGTAGGCGAAGATAGTGTTAGGAGTCTTGCCCAAGGACTCTTATTGGTATAGTGTAGGGTGCTTACCCAGGCAGGGATCAAACCCCAGTCTACAGCAAAGAAGGCAGAGGTGTTACCCACTACATTATACCAACCATAAAAAGAACCCTACCCCAGCTGATGAGGTAGAAGGCTTTATGAAACCTAAGGCCAGTGCCTCCTGTATGGCCTTCTTCTCTGGGCCAGACAAGGAGAACAGATGGCTTTGAGGAGGGCTAGTCCCAGGAAGGAGGTCAATGACGCAGTCATACGGTCTGTGAGCTGGCAGGAGTTGGGCTTTTGTTTACTAAAGACCTCCTGAAGGTCCCAATATTTGGTGGGGACACACGATAAATCAGGACCTTCAGCTGCCAGAGAGGTCTTGGCTCTCAAGTTGGAGGGTTTAAGACACAGCCCCTGGCACTGGGGTCCCCAGGCTGCCACAGATGTGATAACCAGTATGGGGGTTATGGTGTTGCAGCCAGGGGGAACCCCAGCACTAGCTGCAGTTCATGGGCACGTATAAGGAACAAAGAAATGTGTTTATTAGTTAGCATTATTAATCGGTTATCAGGTCATCCAAATGGTAATGTAAACAGCATACTCTGATTTGTTGTAGGTCTGTTCCTCATATACAGAAAAGGCAGCAGGATGTCTTGCCACAGTAGTTCATTTATTTGTTATGTACTTTAGCTTAAGATTTTCACTGAACATTGTGTTAAAAAGTGTTTAAATTTCAGTGATGTTCCTGGCAAAAGCATGACATACATATTGATATAAAACAAACTTATTGTCAAAATATAGTAAAGCCAGCTGTTTTTTTTTGTTTGTTTTGTTTTGTTTTGTTTTGTCAGCAGCTATTTGTTCTGTCCAGCACATCACTACTGAATCAATTAAAAAATATAACATAATATTGTGGCTGTGGGGTGAGCAAAAGAATTTATCCCTAAAATAAGAAAAGCCTACATCAATACCCTTTTAACAAACACCACCATATCTGGATTTATTTACTCTAATACAGATGAAACAAAAGCTTTTTATAATTATTATCATTATGATAGGACAGGACCTTGGAACAGTAAAGACAAAAAATGATATACTATCTGAACCTCTGATTTGGTCTGTGATTATGTTAACTTTAAAATGTTTCTCTGGAAACCTACTTGGAGTTGTGGTCAGGTCAGTGCTAACGGCAGCCATTGTGGTAGAAACTGGTGTGATGGTGCTCACATCTGGAAAGAAGTTAAAAAACAAACACTGAAATGAAAATGAGCTTTACCTCAGTTAAAGATTAAATTTCTCTCTAATGATTATTAGCACTTAAAGTAATTTTAAAGTATATAAGTTTTTATATTGATTTTTATATTTTACAATTAAAAAAAAGTTTATTACATTACATTAGTTTATTACATTTATTACATTATTTATAAGAATTTGTGTGAGGACTTTTACGGCAATCATATGGAACCTTACAGCAGAAGACTCATTAGTGTTAGCTGGCAAAGGGAAGTTGTACAAATGTTGTACTAAAAGCAGAGGTGCCAACAATGGTGATGTTGTTTTACTTAAAAAAAACAAACAAAAAAAAATGTAAGGGTAATTGTTTTCTCAGACTTAATTTACTTCAGTTAAAAGTCAAATTTCTGTAATATTTTCAGGGTGAATTTGAGCTGATTACCTACACATATACAATGTACAATTGAAAAAAGAAAATAAACAAACAAACAAAAAAAAACACTAGTGAAATCCTCTGGAAATTTATAAAATGGTCAGAGTACCTGCACAGTAAGCTGAATTGCAGAAGGCTGGACTGACAAACTGGACTGAGCCCCAGCAATGGCTTTGTAATCCTTGTTTCACATCTGAATTGAAATCTCTTTAGAACGTGGCATCATGTGCTGCTTTTTGAGACATTTTCTGTTTACTTGGATGACCTTTTTCTAATATTAAAAGAAGTTTAATGATCTGAACCACTAAAGTATGACAAATATTCAATAAATAAATAAATAAATAGACGAAACTGGGAAGGGGCAAATCATTTTTCACAGCACTTTTATATATGTTTATTCAGATGCTCAGCCTTTGTCTTGAGTGTGAAAGTTTCTATTAAATGTAAGCCTAATGCTCAACATAAACTTAAACTTAACTTCAGTTCAAATTTTAGATCTACACCTAAATCTAATCTAACCATAATGTTGGTGATAATCTGCAAATTAAGTATTTAAGTATCATCATCTACAGGAGACTCAAAATAAAGTGTGTTCTGAAATACATATGCATCTATAGTAATTATAATAACTTCAATAATTCATTGATTTTCAAACAAATCTTAGTGTTCATTGTGCATTTTTATTGCAATTATTAGTGATTTGTGTACTGAATAGAGCATAATATATAGTAAATAAACTGTTCAAAAGTGTCTAATTTTAGTTCACTGAACGGACAACAACACCTTTGAAAACCCTAAAATGTGTGTTCCTTAAAATTAAGGTAATAGTCTGAAAATGACTATGTCATGCCTCCCTCAGGCACAGCTGGAACTACAGCCACTATAGCTGCTTCAAGCTACAATTCTCAGAATCCCTCACTACCTCACATGACTCAGGACTCCAACATATCAGTCTCAGATTCACTGAACGTCTGATTGCACACACACCTGTTCTTTATTTTAATATATGCTCACATATATTTCAAAGCATTCAAATGCATCATCCTCAAATGCTTTTTTCTTTCCTTTCGTAGTGCCACCTTGTTATTTGCTTAATGTAATTCATATATGAAAATAGCTACATTGATAATTATTGCTGAAAATAATGTAACCTATACAACACTGCCTGTAGAGCCAACCAGCACCAGATTCAATCACAATCAGCAAATCGTACCCCTTGAGGAGGGGAATGCTGATTTAACCCCTAATTTACTACAAATAAAGACTTGAGTATGATGTTTCTAATTCTAATGTAAAGTATGATGTTTATAATATAAACAAAACCGTTTTAGTAAGTAGGTAGTAGGTAGGAACTGAATGGCTTTAGGCTTTACTTACTTGAACATACAACACTGGTGTTTGTGATTGTAGTTAGTAGGACCACAGTGACCCCTGTTGGAAAGATGAAGAAATGGTGAATGCTCACACATGCAGTTGGCTCATCACACATGGCTTAAAGTTCTATTGTGCTGGAATTCTGGTGCAGGGTCTTTTAGATTAAAAAATAGATAACTATATTATGATGGCATGGAGGGGTGGGTGTGTGATGAGGTGATGTCATGTAATGAGGATCAGTTGTGACACCAGGGAGGGAGAGACTGATGTTTTAAAGAAGAGGGTCCAGTATGGTGGGGTTGGGTGTAGCTGGGGACAGGACTGAGTTTGCTGGGGCTTGTAGATCATTTGTGGACCCACTGTGGACCTGGTTTGCATTCAATTAAACGGTGAACTGTTTTCGTAGAGGCCAGTTTAGCGGCAAAAAAAGGACTTGACTTGTGAGACAACAGACTCCCGGATTTTACAGGGGGGACTTGACAGCCACCTGGTGAGGGAAGTCTGTATTTTTATTTATTTTATTTTTATATATTGACCATCATGATTATGTCACATTTCAGACAAAACCTTCAGATAGCTTTTATATGATCACTATCTATTCACTTTGTTTATCTCAGTATAGCATATAAATAAATAGGAGATACCAGTAAGAAAAGAAGATAAAAAGCAGATTTTAAGAAAGTTATGTTGCATAAAGGCAAAGCTTTAATGCACAGAAATCGTCCTTGCTTTAACCTTTGATTACAACTGTCCTGTAACACTGAGCCCGTCTGTCATGCTGCCATGTTTAAAGATGCTTAGCCATATAAATTAAAATGAATTCATATATCTCATGTGAATAAGGGTTTCATTTTCTGGGATAACCCCCTACAAATTATCTATAAATGTTCAAATTTTTAACAAACAGTTGATTCTGAATTCATGTTAGGATTAGTAACCAGGGTTAAGTTTAGGACCAGGATAAGAGTTATGTTTAGGTTTTGGGTTGAGGTTTAAGGTTAGGGTCAGGCTTAGGGGAAGATTTAAGGACAGTACAGGTGAATTTAATGGATATTTAGTTAATGTAAGTAAGTAAATGTAATTGTAAGAGTTTAAGACAGTAAAAATACAGTGTCTACCCTGAGTGGTAGGAATCACTTGGATCATGACGTTTTTGGTGGCCCTTTATATGGGGACATTTGAAGACAAGCCCAGAACCATTGTGGCATCAGCACCAGCTGACGGGGCACAGCAACTGCATTCTGAGTGAGAAACGGCCTACCCACAGTGCACGCTATTAAAAGGGTAAGCAAAAACCTTTTTTGAAGTTCTGAATAAAAAGTGGGAATTGGTTCTTGTTCATGGGGTCTGTGGTTTGTAGTTTGTTTTGTAGTTTTTGTAGACTGGGTTTGGAAAGACAAAAATACAAAAAAAGGAGTAATATCAAAGTGTATAAAAAAAAAATCATAAAAACCATGTTATTAAAAATTGAAAATTATTGATAAAATTCATTCCACAAAATTTAAAATAATCCTATAAAAACCTGTTCTATAAAAATGAAAATAATTACAGAAAAAACGGGCCAAATAAAAAGTACACCAAGGAAAAACCACACAAGAAAGAGAAAAAAGAAAGAAAAAAGAGAGAAAAAAGAGAAGAAAAGCAAATAGAAAAAGGAAAAGAGGAAAAGCATGAAAGAAAAAAGCCCTGGGAGACAAATGTTGAATATAAATGTTTGTCTGTATGTCTGTAAATGTGTGTTTAGAAGTGTCCAAATTGAAATGCATCATTTAAGGGGAAGATTTATAATATTTGTAAGAGTAACTGCATGCACTGTGCCATAGAGAAACTTTGTGCAAGTCATAATTAGGATTACACCGGTAGTGTTACGAAATAATAAAATCACTAAGCGAGAATTGAATGTAACGGGGTATCAATGAAATAATCAAAATATATTCCTTTGGGAGTCTGATCAGAGGAAACGTGTTTACTACCACCTGCATGCAAGAATGTAATTTAGACATTGTCATTTAGAGCTATAAAGATATTATTGTTTGGAAAAAAGGGGCAAAGTATACACAAATGATTGAGCTGCAACAGATAAAACTTAAAATCCAGATAAAATATCAACAGTTGACAATAACAGTCACATCAGAAGTTGTGGCTTTTGACAGAGTGGCACAATTTAGATGAAGCAGAGGCTGTACTTTTGCAGACTGAAAGAAACAACAAAGAGAATTTGGAAAAAAAGAGCTGTTGTCATCTGTGCTTAATTTACTGTTATCTGGCCAAATACACTTAAAAGCCACCCAGGGGCTGGAATAGCTACCATGGGGTCGGTTTGAGCCAGGACCAGGCACTGAAGACAGACAGTGTAGAGAGCTGGAAATAAAGTCACAATCACAAAAAGAGAGGTGTACTGGGAAAGGGAGCTGGTTAGTGACACTGTGTTGACAGAATCAATGTACTGGGATCAGAATTTTGGCATGAGTTACCTAAGCAGAGAGCTACTACAGCAGAAAAGATGACAGCGATTGTAAATTGGAATGAGGTGGCAGTTTTTTACCTCAGGACTTCACACAGGAAAATAGCTCCAGGAGTGTGCCAATTTCAAACAGTGGAGTGAATTCAGACACATGGAAAAATGGATATAGTGTACAGGTGCAGTGCGATGGTCTATGTTTCTGTGAAAGATGTAAAGTTGTGGACACGACAGAAGGCAGTTGCTTTGTGGTGGCACATGCCCGGTAGATGGAATGAGGTGTGAGAAGCTGACCCACTGTATAAAATTCTGAGGTCAGACCCAAATGTAGAGGCTGTCATGGTGCATATTATTAATCAAGATAATAGATGTGTCAATGCATCGGTCAGGATTCAACATGTTATTTTAAGGCGATTATTTTAAATGGGTCCGGTTGAACTGAAGGAATGACGTGTTCTGTGGAGCATGACTACACTTTCAGAAAAAAAGGAACTGCCATGAATGGTCAATGCAGCAGTACCTTTCTTGTCACTGGGGTGGAGCCCTCAAGGGTACATCTCAGTACCTTTAGTCAGGGAGCGTAATTGTACCATAATCTATTGAAGTGATATTTTCTAAGCTGTACTGACTCCACACACCCCGTCTCGTCTCCAGGCTTTTATTTTACTGTTCTGTTTTAAAACATTCGGTTATGAAATGGTACAAATATGTACTTTTCACCTGGAAAAACTTATTTAAGGTTCACAATCAGACCTTAAAACCGCTGTTGTACATTTGAGGGAAACATTTACCTTGGTAAACGAAAAATGTACTTGCACAGAACCTTTATTTCTATCAGTGTAGTGAAGACCATAGGTAGTGAATCAAATGTACATTTTCAAAAAATGTAAATGCATGCACTGATGGACAGAGAGAGAGGCTCCTGACAGCAAAGGGAAGACAAGATGCGCACTCACACATGGAGCCCCTCCCATTTGGGAAACAGCAGCAGCACCACTCAGCTCAGTGAGCACACACACATACTCACACATGCACAGCGCCTCCCGTCATAGAAAGCACAGCAGAACTACACAGCCAGAGACAGCCTTTGTCAATCAGAGAGAAGCAGACCCAACAAGCTATGTCAAAGAGCGCAGGAGCTTAAAGAAAAGAAAACAGTGAAGACAAAAGCCTAACTCACTGAAAAACAAGCAGATTGACAACATTGCAGGCCTTTAAATATCATGCAATGTGGCTGAAAGAAAAAGAGCAGATCTATAAACAAAAGGAGGAAGCTGGAGGAAAACAAGGGCAATACCTACAAGTAGTGGTAGAATGACCTAATTCTAATCAATACCCTGTGCTCACCTAAAAAGAATGTTCAGAGACGAATACAGATGAAGGGATCTGTAATGCTCAAAGCTAATAGTGCAGAACAAGATGAAAATGAAGGATCTGGACCAAGCAACCAACAGGGAGACTTAATTATCTTGCAAGATTTAACTGAAATGGGATAATGTTTGCCATTGGATCCACACAGAAACAGAATATCGGTTGATATCAGGAAAGAATTCCCATCAGTGATGTATCCCAGCCAATTGGAAAACATGGAATTGAAAACAGGTGTATGTGTCAATGAATATATCAGCAATTTCCAAAGGAAGTGGCTGGAAGAAACGAGGTCATCATGGAACGAAATCAAACTGATCAAAGACTCTTTCAGATGATGTTTAAGAGAAGCCCTACCCCAAGAGGTACAAAACGTGCTGGAGGAAGTTGTGCTTCTAAGCAACATAGAGTGGCCAGTTTTTAAAGCTACATCATGTGGAAAGATACAGGAAGAAGAAAGAAAAAGAAAACGAAAACATGGAGAAACTAACAGCACAGCTACAGAAAGATAAATGAAGAAAAAAGACAAAAGGAAGACATGACAAATTAAACTGTAGTAATTACTCAACATCAAAATGAAGCTCCAACCTCTAAAGCAATACAGCGAGATCAATCAGCATCTGCACCACAACGAGAAAACATCAGCACACAAGCAGCAGCAGTGACTCAACCAAATTAAGCACCAATCAGCAACCCACAGAACATGCCAACTGCACAGCCTGCCCTGGTGGCAACTTCAATGATGTCACCAATCAACATATATGTAAATAGAGGAGCAAGAAGCAGAGTAAGAGGTAGAGGAAGAGTACAAAGTATTCAATTCCATCACACATGTTTCGTTGATAGTTTCAAATGACTGTCAATCCAAGGATCTTGGACCAGTGATGAAGGCCAACAAGAAGATAATTTGGATGAAGACAGACAATAAAAACATCCATATGTCAGCAGATGGGTCATATTACAGAATAGCTATGAAGTCAGTCGATAGAACAGTAGCAGATAAAGTTCTTGTGTTAGGGTTGCCACTAAACATGAAGAATTACCGAAGCAAGTGCCAAGTTGGTTATGGATTCAACATCACACTGATGTAGGCCTAATGAAGTCAGCAGGAGAAGTCTAGATTAAAGTAAAACCAAATATGTGACTCTCATACCAGAAGCAATACCCACTCAGTGCTGCAGCTTTTGAAGGGATCAAACCTACAATGGAAGGGTTGGTGGAAGCAGGA